TTACGTTATGTTATAAAACATCTATTATTACCCATATTTTTAGTAAAACATAAAATTCGGGGTCACGTCGGGTAAATAGACACCAAACATGTCAAGCCTTAAAATTGCGTGCGCCCGCAAGATCGCAAAAAACGCCCATAGGCGACGATTAAAACGCTTTTTCTGCACATCAGTTTAGTGTTATCAGTGATTAATGGCTCTAGAAATTATTGCTCTCACTCCAACGTTTGCGGCGATATTTAACATGTGCGGCACAATAGGCGCAATCTTCGTTTTCGCACGTAGGCGCACCCGACGCATATCTGCGTTTGTATGTGGGGGGCAGGGAATTATTAGGTTTTCTTTTTTTCATATTTTTCATGCTTTATTTTTTTATGATTCTTTAATTTTAGTATTACTTTTTTTTTTTTACACACAGCTTTATTGCTATTACATGGGGGGGCTAAGAAGCCCCCTATGTGATAGCCAATTTACATGGCAGGTCCTCTTTATGGAAACATCAGGGGTCTACAAGACCCCTGTCACCTAGGGACCTCCAGGGAAGCTGATGAAGCAGAGATCGGCTTCATCAGCTTCTGTAGCTGGAGAGTGACACTGAATGCAGGAAGTGATGTAATCTACATCACTTCCTGCATTCAGGGACTGAGGGGAGATCAAAGGGAGTTCGTGTACTGAACTCCCTTTGATCTCCTGTCACAGAGCCGTGCCGCTCCCAGCCGCATCGGGGCACAGCGGATCTCGGGACCGGCAACGGCAGTGACAGTTGCTGCTAATAAAAGCGATCGAGCGTCCATAGAGACACCTGATCGCTTGAATGTAAAGCTCCCGGCCGTTGTAATTACAATGGCCGGCAAGCTGCTCGCCGGGCTCCACCGTCCTCTCGTCACAGACGAGCAGATTTTTCAAGCCCTGTTTATAGCAAAAGGTCAGCTGGCTATGCAAAGCTATGAAGGGGACAACAGTCATTAGCCCTGTCTAAGTTCTGACAGAGCTCAAAATGGGCCTTGAACTCAGAACTCCAGCAGGTCAAGATCTAAGTATATCTAAACAAAAGTAATTATGTATCATGGGTATATCATTTTTTTAATTTTATCTAAGCTTTTTGTACTGGGGAAAAAGAAAAAAAACAATCCAAGTCTGGCTTTTAGAGAACTAAAATAAATTGTTACATGCTGATCTGATTGGATGTAATAGATTCCTCTGCACTCTATGCACCAGGAACTTGATTTATTACATTGGGAATATGTTTAAGAAGACAACAACCAGAATGCATAAGTAAATGCCCATGGCTCTATACACAAGACATTTAGTGTGCCATTTTATGAGCAATATTTTCAAGCATGGTGACAAGTTTGAGCCATGGACCATGTAGGGGGTTTATTCCCAACTGCTGATGTGCTAATTCCATGCACCATTATAGCAGATCTTCTAACGTGTTAGAAAATATGTGACCTTTTAGCAATTGCCCTTCAAATCCACAGATAAGGAAGATGTCCCTTCACAGAATGAGAACAAAACATTGGCATAACTGTAAGCAAAAGTCACAGCACACTCTGGCAATCTGGGAATGAGAAGGAACAAAGGCAGACATCTCAGCATTGGTGCACTCTGTGAAAGATATTCTCCACCAGGACTAGCCATAGTTTGAAGAAAACATTCCAGGAGAAAGAGAGAGAACACACTATAGTCAAATGCAATTGAGGAAGCCTTACAGTTCTTGGCCCTTTCAACAGTGCGCCTATTACTAATGTCCAGTCATTTGGCTCAATAAAAATGCACATCAGCTGGAGTAATATTTATTACTTAATAACAGTGGTATTAGTTTCCTGTATTAAAGAGAACTAGTCATGATCTGGCTTAAGCAAGAATGTAAGTACTCAGTATTAAAGTTCTAAGAGATGTGCAGCTCCAAGCATCATGCTCAAACTTGAAACCAAGTATTTGGATTATTTCAGAAGTTCAACAAATTCCCCTTCAAACGGTTTACCATTTACCAACAATTTCTGTTCTGGTGACACTCCAAAATTTTAGATTTTCCCTGACAATGGTAAGCAGAACAAATAGAATGCATCCACCTAATGGGCACAGCAACTAAACCTGAGTGTGCTTCTATTCAGCTGACCGAAGGAGCAGGTTGGAAAATTCTTGCCCAAATGGAGCTTGCCCATTTTGGTATTCTGACAGCAGCCGGGGGGCGCTGTCTGAATGCTATGTAAACAGCGGGGGATTCCTCAATCACCACTCCTAAGCATTGACAGAGGAATTTGTTCAATTTATTTTTATTTAAATTTACACATATTGGTGTGACAAAAACGGGGCAAAAATTTCCTCTAAGATAGGTTAATAATCAGTCGGTAAATATGTGAATATGTGAAAGAAAAGCAAAATGTTACGATGAAATACGTTAGCGCTTACCATAGAAGTTTCCCAGTATGCTAGACTATCTTTTATAATCAAGTAAAACTGCTGCACAAATTATGGTATTTAGAAGGAGAACTGGAACGGTTTCCCCTATATTAAATTATGAAACTTTTAATAATGCCCAATTTCTTGGTAAAATATAAAAGGCGGGGTCACATCAGGTAAAATAGACACCAAACATGCCAAGCCTTAAAATTGCGTGCGTCCACGAAACCTCAAAAAATGACAATACCCAAAATTGGCCATAGGCGATGCCTTAAAAGCTTTTACCGCTCATGAGTTTAGTGTCATCAGTGATGGATGACCCCAAAATGATTGCTCTCACTCCGACGTTCGCGGCGATATGTAACATGTGTACCGCAATTGAGAAGAGATCTGCTTCTTGTATGTAGCCGGTAACGGCTGTACAGATTCTCAGTGGGGCGCACGAGCATAGGAGAAAAAAAATTATGTACATTTACGTGGCTTCGGGGCAGACGGCAAGGGGTTCAATCAAATCAATATTTGATGTGATGACCCTTTGGTTTCAAGCCAGTATCAATTCTAAAAAGGTGGCCATACATTGTACGATTTTTGTTTGAAAGTCTTTGTTTCTGGTACGAACCCTCGTTCAATTATACCTAGACTTCCTCGTCAAGTATAGTCGAATGTGGACTTCGGAAAGCGATTGTTAGCCAAACTAACCAACCAATTTTTGACAAACTACGGAAATAATTTCCTTTTGCGCATGTGTTGTCTTCTTGGAGATTTTTGGATGAACGAAAACCCCACTGATTCATTAATTTTCGTTGGGTCAGAGCAACACCTGATCAAATCAAAAAAGATTTCGATCACAATATGAAGAATGAAAAATCGGTGACGTGTCATCAACTTTTCTATTTGCGTTCGAGTACATTTTTCAAACGAAAATCATACAATGTATGGCCACCTTTACACTTGCACAAAGTCAGGGATTTTGTAGGATTAGAGTCAGGTGCTAATGATGATTAATTTCATAGGTAGGCCAAAACACTGAAACAGCCGTGTAGGAGGCTTAAAACTGGGTGAGGAACAGCCAAACTCTGCTACTAAGGTGAGTTTTTGGAAGACAGTTTCATGTCACAGGTCCTACACCATGGCAAGACTGAGCACAGCAACCAGACACAAGGTAGTTATACTGCATCCGCAACGTCTCTCTTATAATCGATTATGTCGATTAGTTGTTGCAGCCCTACTCCCAGGCAAAGATTTCAAAGCAGACTGGGGTTTCAACATTTGCTGTTTAAACTCTTTGGAAGAAGTACAAAAACTGGCAACATCGAGGACCGCAGACAAAGTGGTCAGCAAAAGAAACTTAATGCAGCAGATGAGACACATCATGCTTACTTCCCTTCAACATAGGCAACAGTGAAGCATGGTGGAGGTTCCATGCGAGTCTTGGGCTGCATTTCTGCCAATGGAATAGCAGATTTGGTCAGGATCAATGGTGTCCTCAATGCTGAGATATACAAGCAGATACTTATCCTTAATATCATGCCATCAGGGATGCTGTTTTGAAGGCAAAGGGTGGTCATACCAAATATTGATTTGATTTGGATTTTTCTTCTGTTCATTTACTTTGACACTTTAATTTCTGAAAGCATTCGTAGTTTACAGCATTTTTTCCACACCTGCATAAAACCTTTACACAGTACTGTATACACACACCCACCCACCCGTTTCCCAATCTCTGAATGTGTTAAATGTTCTAATGATGAAAAGGACAGCATAAAAAAAACACACCAAAAGCAGATGATCTACCAGGTAGCCAATAGTTACACGGTCACCTAAGTCATTACAACCTATGCCAACATTAAGGCTGAACAAATTCCTGGAGCCCCAAGAAAACTTATGGCTGGTGTCTCTGTTCAGCTGCTTTGAATTGCTTTATATGTTCATAGGATCCACAAAATTCCCTGATGACTCCTAGGGTGAAATGACTGACTAAAATGTACAAGGATTTCTCCACTTTTACACCCAAATAAAATCTATATTGCCAAATGGAACAAAATTAATCACATTAAAAAGATTACAATGGTACATTAGTACATTGTAATTCATCACTTGCATAAAACGCACATTTACATGAACACAAAAAGATTCCATTATCAACATTTTCTAACTATTTCATTGGTAGAACGCCTTATCTACAAAAAGGTTTCAAACATGTCCATTAATGGACAAGGAGGCTCAGACAAAACTTTCATAACAGAGCCTATTCATTTGATTCAAATAGCACACAGAGATTATCCCTCTTCAGCTGTCCTCCAGGAATATGTCACTGTCACTCACAGACTTCTAGGTTGTGACGGCTGTGTGATTCCAGAGACACGAGCTAACAACTATCCATTTATGGCTAAACAGGGCACCAAGACAAGACACTCCCACGTGTACAGTCATTCAGGGTGGGTAGTATGGGCTGCCCCTGACAGTGCCAAATTTGGGAAGGCAGATGGGGGAGTCCCAAAGTATTCCTAAACTAGGGAACGGAACTACAAGAGAAAAAAAAGGGAGAGGGGCTACAAAGGAATATAAAAAGGTTTTGCTCAGTCAGTTCAGAGTTGCAGCTGCAGCATACACCACCTGTCTTTCCAGTTAACACGTTTTAAGATCTCTGCTACATTCAACCATGTGTGACGACGAAGAGACCACTGCTTTGGTCTGCGACAACGGCTCAGGCTTGGTAAAGGCTGGATTTGCAGGAGATGATGCACCCAGAGCTGTATTCCCATCCATTGTGGGTCGCCCCCGCCACCAAGGTGTCATGGTGGGCATGGGACAGAAGGACTCCTATGTTGGTGATGAGGCCCAGAGCAAAAGAGGCATTCTCACTCTGAAGTATCCCATTGAGCACGGCATCATCACTAACTGGGATGACATGGAGAAAATCTGGCACCACACATTTTACAATGAGCTCCGTGTGGCTCCAGAAGAGCATCCCACTTTGCTTACTGAAGCTCCACTAAACCCAAAAGCAAACAGAGAAAAGATGACACAAATCATGTTTGAGACCTTCAACGTTCCTGCAATGTATGTCGCTATCCAGGCTGTCCTGTCTCTGTATGCCTCCGGTCGTACAACTGGTATTGTGCTGGACTCTGGAGATGGTGTCACACACAATGTCCCCATCTATGAAGGCTACGCTCTTCCCCATGCCATTATGCGTCTAGATCTGGCTGGTCGTGATCTGACAGACTATCTTATGAAGATCCTTACAGAGCGTGGGTATTCCTTTGTGACAACAGCTGAAAGGGAAATTGTTCGGGACATCAAAGAAAAGCTGTGCTATGTAGCTTTGGACTTTGAAAATGAAATGGCCACAGCTGCATCATCCTCTTCCCTAGAAAAGAGCTATGAGCTGCCTGATGGTCAAGTCATTACCATTGGCAATGAACGTTTCCGATGCCCTGAGACCATGTTCCAGCCATCCTTCATTGGTATGGAATCTGCAGGTATTCATGAGACAACCTACAACAGCATCATGAAGTGCGACATTGACATACGCAAAGACCTCTACGCCAACAATGTCCTTTCAGGTGGAACCACCATGTACCCAGGTATTGCTGATCGCATGCAGAAGGAAATCACTGCCCTTGCTCCAAGCACCATGAAGATCAAAATTATTGCACCACCTGAGCGCAAATACTCTGTCTGGATTGGAGGTTCCATCCTGGCTTCACTGTCCACCTTCCAGCAGATGTGGATCAGCAAGCAAGAGTATGATGAGGCTGGACCTTCTATTGTCCACCGCAAGTGCTTCTAAATGTGTTTATGTGGTACAATATTCTTTATTTTTAACGCTATGCCTTAAAACTTAGACATTACACAACTTGTGGACTGGAAACTAAAAAGGAGACTTTAATACATACTCATTCATTACAAAAGGTGATGAAACATTTAGCAAATAAATGGTTTGTAAGATCTGGGTGTAGTACTCATTCCAAAATGTTTCAACGAATACACTTCATGTTAATCTGATGCTATGATGCCAAATTAAAACATCTCAACAAGTAATTTTTTTGTTTTGGTTTTGTTTTTAACAAGTATGCCAACTAGCCATTCTTCAGAAATGAAAGCGTATGGGATAGTTATACACTGCGTTTTGCAATCATACCACTGAAAGGTTTGCAATATCTGTCTAATTGTGTTTATCTTTTCTGTAAGTAGCTTCTAAAGATCTTCTTTTATTTTACTACATAGTGTAAAAATGGCTTGATGTTCCCTATATGCATTTTCAGATATTTTAACCCTAAAACACAACAAGCAATCTGTGCATAAGAGCCCACTTTCTGCTTTTACACACATTTATAAAAGCATTCCTAGGTTGTCTATAGAGGTTTATGTCACAGGGGAAAAAAAATCAATTGTAATTGCAGTATTATGTTACAAGGACCCTCCATTCAATCCAGAAGCTAGGTTTTCTAATGTTCTATTGCATCAATGAGGGATACATAAAAAATTTAAAAAAAGCCCAGCAAAAAAAGACAATTATTATTCCAAAGGGTAAAAGAAGGGTGTGCATTCTACTACCACACTGGTGTCCTAAAGCTCAAGCCAAAAAAAAATCTGGTGTTCGTCCAAGTACATTTAAAGGGGTCATCAAAGCAATACCACATACATTAAAACAAAACGAACCTTTCATTTCCTAGACCATGTATTTTTGTGGTTAGAAAAAAAAAATGTATATGCTTCCTCTTGACCTGGAGTTTTAAGTCACATGTCTACGGTATGCTGTTTATTTTCTTTGTACAGAGATACAAAAATTGTCATTAGCAGCATCACTGCTTTACTATAGCACTCCTTTACTTCTTCCTTCTGCAAACTCAAATGTGTCACAGCTGCTGATTCAGCTGTCCACTTGGCCATTATTTTACAATGTTAGAACCCACCAGGAGACAGACAATGCGGATTCCCAAGCTTCCAACTCATAGAAACACATTAATATCCTCCAGGAGATCAGATAAAGGGCTCTCAACTACACAACAGGTTTGTGTGATTCACACTGGAATGCTTTATTATTCCATCTAAATATAAAACATGACAGAAAAGGAGAAACATGACCAAAAAAAAAACACAACCACTGTGAATACATATGACTTGACCAGTAGCACTGTGCATTTAATACGTTTTTCATACATATTTTTTTTCTCAAATCATATTGCAGAAAATAAACTACAAAGAAGTCATAGAATTGTAAAAATGATGTGGAACGCCCACTCAAAATATATTTTAAGCAGTCACCCTAACACAGTAACACTGCAACAAACCCATACTAAACCCCACACTACTACAGACAGAAATATCACATCTGTCAAATGAACACTGATGTTATATAGCAACGCTCAAGTCTGGTTCACTTAAAAAAAAAAAAGTAGAGCTGAAGACAACTACATGCAAAGTGTCGTCATCCACATATCCATTTTTCAACATTCAACTGTTTAGCAATTGAACAATGAAAGTGGCAGTGAACAGGTTGCTATGGGTTATTGTACTATACGCTTTACAGCAAATCAAAATAAAAACTAAATAAATTAACTGCTCTACAAAAACAAACATGCTCAACAAAATCAGCAGAGCCATTAGTGCTCTTTGGATTTCCAATTACCATCAATTTATCTTTAAAAAAAATATCGGTTTTCATAAACCGAGGCACCCAGAGAAATTTACTGTATGTGTTCTCCTTACATTTTTGGTCACTGGAACTCGTGCAGTGCCTGCACCCGGGCCTATAACTAAAAGTTGTAACATTCTGGAGTAGGGCGACTGCCTACTGTTTTTTTTAAAAGCGGAAAGATTTATAAACTGCTTAGGAAAGTTGTTTTTAGGGACCAATTATCATTACATGCCTGTGTATGTGGAAGAACTGGCTCTCTTTTCACCTTAGTTTTCTTTATATATGAAAGGCAGGGTCAGCTAACTACCTTCTCACCAGTTTAAAGTCACACTGAAGTGCCTTAACCATGAACAAAAATGTATCTTATTTGTGTGTCACTCGGCTGTAGAGCCTCAAATCATCTCTGATTGGTGGTGACACTGTCCTTCCTTCTGGAGGGTGGCTACTTTTGTTCCCCATGGTCCCTGTGTGTATTGTAAAGTAGTCACCGCTCCAAGCTCACTCCTGTGATGGACTACAATCTCATGTTTAGTTTACTAATTTGTACAGAGATTGTAGTCCATCACGGGAGTGAGCTTGGAGCGGTGACTACTTTACAATACACACAGGGACCATGGGGAACAAAAGTAGCCACCCTCCAGAAGGAAGGACACTGTCAGCACCAATTCAGAGATGATATGAGGATCTACAGCCGAGCGATACACATACACATTTTTACATCTCTTCTGTAATAAAGAGCCTGCCTGCTTAAAATATTTTAAAAGTTTAGTTACGCTTTACAGAACTGGAAGCATCCTCACAAGCAGCATTGTGACCGCATTGTCACTACCTACCAGCCACACACTGAGATTTGGGAGCTAGTAGGAAGGGCTCCAGATCACATGATCACTGTGACAGCCAATCACATAAATCGGGAAGCTGATTTATTAAAGGGCTGGCTCACACCAGTGGAAAGGGATTAAACAATAGCCGTTTACATTTCTCTTAACTACAGAGCTTCTTTTTTTTTTAGTCTAACATGCACTTCTAGAAGGTGACAGACCGTGTGCGAGATCAAGCAGTTGACCTTGCAGTAGATTTTAGACCTTAGGTGTGACTGTTTACATTATGTTGAGCTCTCACCACAGATATATAGAAGAAAAAGACTAGAGCTACACAAAGACTGAATGAAAACAAAAAGCATGGCATTAGTAATAACACCATCACACAATGTTTTTTTTAAATGGATGTCATCCAAACTCTTGAATATAAAGTAATAAAGAAGTGCCAGTACATACATACAAAGCTGCTATTTGTTAATTGAAAACAAGATGGTAAATTGCTAAGTGACATCTCAAGAAAAAGGATGTTCCATGCAACATTCCCACATAAGGACTTATTTGTCCTCTAAATTACCTCTCTGTTTCACAAGCAGCAAACACATAATGCTGAGCTGTGATATATACATTTGACCTTCCCTGAAGTACCTTTGGGACATAAGTATTCATAGCAATGTTACTTCCAGTCAGTTACGATTCTCGGGAAGACATTTTGTTCATAGAAAAAAGGAAGGTGGTCAGATTTTTTTTGTTTGTTTTAATTTAAATGTGCATCTACAGAATTAGATATCGTCATAAACTACTTCAATACTCACAATTATATTTACAGCTGGCAACTATCTTTTTATTTTTTTTTAAAGGACATGTGAAGACAAACCATAAAACATACATGTGTGTGTACAGAGCAAAAATGTAATTGTGTTCAACCATTTCTCAAATGCAGACATAGCCAGATTTGACCATTTTCATATCTGCAGTACATCACAGCAATACAGCTTAGTCAAGATGTGATTGTGAAGGAGCAGCAGTACACTAATGAGGTCATCTCTGTTCTTTTTCCTCCAATCATCAAGCTCCATTTGTTACATTCACAGCATGCCTTCACCCACCCTCCCTTTGCTGCCCCAGTCTAAGGGCCTGTTCACACGACATGCGTTGTCTGTGCTGACCTGATCCGTACGCTCCTGCACTTAAAATGCATCCCAATGCATCCCTAATGTGTTTTATGGGCTACAGTTCTAACGTGCGCTTACGACAGAAAAAAATACTGCATGTCACATTTTGTCCGGTACGGAAACAGACGAACGCGGCAAAAACGCAACGAAAACGGAACGCAATGCAGCTAAGCAAAAAAAATAGTATTCTTGCTCCACTTTTTATGATGTCATACGACATACGAGTAAAGGAAAAAAATTTATCGGGGTGAGCCCGCAAATCCTCATATAAACTCCAGAACATGGAGTCCCGGAGCCTCAAGATTGGGTGTAGCCAATAACGACGTCTCCTGCGAGCTCGTTCTCTGCAGATTGCTGTAGCCAGCACCATCAACATGCCTGCAAACATGTGATACATGTCTGATCACCAGCTTTACATACACAAAAGGGAAGTAGATGTTCCGAGAAGGTGGAAGTGACCTCAGAGGAAGAATCTGCATACTGGCAGCCCCACGGCTAAAAAAAAAAATGAACTGTCATCATCCGGACCGAAAATGCGTCACAAACGCACTGCATCAGTAGCACCACGTCTGCAGATCCGCACCTGGTCAGGACCTGATATCATGTGAACATGCCCTAAAAGCCAAAATTAAAAAAGGCAAAGAAAGGGGGCTAAAAATGTGTAGAATGTGGTTACTATTGAAAACTACATTGAAGTTATTTTATTTTACATACAGCTTTCTAATCAAACTATGACAAAGAAATGTCTGCATGGAAACACTAAGTTATGGACTAAAAATTTCTGATGTTTAATACATAGACCAGCCGTGTCTTTTTTCTCCTTTAACTCTTTTGCTTCCACAGACATAAGGCTTACATCGGCAGCACTAACCAGTACATTGACTACCGGACACTATAGCAGCCAGGAGTCTGTATATGTTTTCGCAGGGGAACGTTAGCTTTCTTGCGGAAGTGAATCTGCATGTGCTAGAACATGTCACCCCTGATGTCTCTACTTGCCATCTGCCAATTGAAAGGTGAACTCTGCAGGGAGAGAGGGCGGTTTTAAAAGTCTTTTTTTAAAGTGACACTAACCTCAGGAGTTAAATCCTTAAAATGCATTCAAGTATCCTAAATATTACCCTTAACCTAAGACCCTCTGCTTTTTTTTTTCAGCTCACTCATCAACTCCTCCCATACTTGCCTCCAAGACTTCTCTAGAGTCTCTCCCATCCTATGAAACTTACCCCAACCCGTCCGACTATCTCCCACTTTGACAGCCTTTAGGCGATCCCTAAAGACTAATCTCTTCAGGGAAGCCTTTCACACCTCAACTTAACCGCTGAACCATCACGTACTCAAACAATTCATCCCCACACAGCTACCTCCTCATGTATCACTTGCCCCACCCAGTAGATTGTAAGCCCTTAGGGGCAGGGTCCTCCTTACCATCTTGTCTGGTAACATGTGATTGTAATTTCTTCCTTATATTGTAAAGCGCTGCGCAAACTGTTGGCGCTATATCAATCCTGTATAAAGAATAATACAAAATTTTCTCATTCTTGTATCACTTGGCTGTAGATCCTCAAATCATCTCTGAATTGGTGCTGACAGTGTCCTTCCTTCTGGAGGGTGGCTACTTTTCTTCCCCATGGTCCCTGTGTGTGTTGTAAAGTTGTCACCACTCCAAGCTCACTCCCATCATGGACTAAAATCACATGTTTAGTTTACGAATTTGTATTGAGATTGTAGTCCATCCCGGGCTACAAGTGAGCTTGGAGCGGTGACTACTTTACAACACACACAGGGACCATGGGGAACAAAAGTAGCCACCCTCCGGAAGGAAGGGCAGTGTCGGCACCAATTCAGAGATGGATTTGAGGATCTACAGGCAAGTGATACAAGAATAAGCTATATTTTTGTTAATAGGATACTTGAATGCATTTTTAGGATTTAACTCCTGAGGTTAGTGTCACTTTAAAAAAAAAAAAAAAACTTTTAAAAACGTCCTCCCACACCGACGTCACCCCATCTTGCTCCATAATCTTCATTCTTTTGCAGCTCTTCTCCTCTACTCTTCTCTGCTTTTATCCCTCCTTCGAAGATACCCAGACAGTAGCCCCACCCCTTTTCTTTCCTTGTCTCTGACCCTGCACTCCCCAACCCCCCTTACACTCCTTCCTTTCTTCCCACTCCCCCCCACTTTTTTTTTCTTTTTGTATTTAGGCTTACCCCATGCTCTTGATCGTAGCCTATAATGGGCTACTCTAACAGTAAAATAGCCACCTAACGCCTCACCCACTCTACTCCCACCTTCACCTCATGATACATCGACAACTCTTTAGCATCACTACAATTAACTCACCCCTTCAGCTAATAACCCACCCTTTGTAGCGATACAGTATGCCTTTTTCCTCCACTGTTTGCAGCTTGGGTAATCCTTCACAATGGGACATGTCCTCACATAACACTGCCTTTCCAGATTGTTTGTTATGTTTGTGTTTTGCTCTGATTTATTGAACATTTGACCTCGTCAATAACCTGTAATCCCACAAATTCTTCAAAACAATAAACACTTGTGGAAAAAACAAACATCCTCCCAACCTGAAAGATAACTTTTTTTTTTTTTTACCCCCACACCTTAAGGGTCAGTTCACACCAGAAACTTCATCACAACTGTGTGCGTCTGCGCAGTTGCACTGCAATGCGTTTTTTTTAACTGCATAAAAAAATGCTAATTAGGCATGTAGGTCACTTCCTTTTCCTGTCAGAGCATTTCCTATGTTTGTTTTGTTCGTTTGGGAGCTCAGTCATGCTTTCTTTGTTGGCTGGCATGGTGCTACGGTAGTTTTGACTTTAGCCATTCTTTTTTTTGTATGTGTTCCGTTGCGTTTGATGCGTTTGCACCGCGTTTTGATGCAGTTAAAGTAGGACAAGCAGTACTTTTTCTGACTGCAGTTGAATCGACTGCAATGGTGTGAATTAGGCACAAGAACGCCCATAGGAAAGCATTGGGATGTATTTTAACAGTGCAGTTGAAATAAACGGACTGCATCACAACTGCATATGGAGTGAACAGGGCCTTATGGATATACTAATGCAAACGCCTTTGTAGCAAAAGGACAACTGCACCACACATGGTATCATCATGCATGCCAGAAAGAGCAATCGTTCCTGGGCCATCATTCACTGTTAACTTATAGAAAATTCTTGAACTATAATTTTTCACCATTTCAAGGACTCACACGTTTTGAGGTTTGACATACTGTATATGGTTCCTAAAATTAATTTGAGTGCATTTTTTTCTGAAAATATAGGTTTGATATACAGTTGTGCAAATGCCATGTGACAGAAGAAAATTGTAACTGCCACCATTTAATTCTACAGGGTCAGTGCTTTCCGGAAAAAAAAAATATATATAAAACTTATTTTAAATTTTTGGTATTTATATAGCGCCGTCAAGTTACACAGTGCACATACCCATCAATCCCTATCCTTAAGGAGCTTACAATCTAAGGTCCCACACACGCATACTTGCAGGCGCAATTTAGACAGGAGCCAATTAACCTACCAGCATGTAAATGTTTTGGGGGTTCAGAGTAACCTTCATGACTAAAATGTGCATTTTAAGATGTGTGCCAAAAAAACAAAAACAATCTGCACTTTTCCCTATGTCTCTTCAAAAAAGTGCATAAAAATACCTGTTCCTCTTCCTAGAAAACAAGCCAGCTCCTAACTTCTGTCATGAGCCGGCAGCTCTTCCAATGCTGTAATGCCGCAATAAACTTTTATTTAAAAAAAACTGTACTACAGTAATGTTAAAAATATTATTGTATTGAGAACGGAGAACGCACTGCAATTGGTGTGAACAAGCCCTAATGGAGATAAACAAAGGGAGGGGTGATATGTATTCTAGTAGGAAATCACTGGGCAGAGCTGACAACACTGCTTGGAAATTTCTGTGAAGCAGAGGCTCACCACCAGATCACTAAAGGACATTAGAAGAACACTGGATTTTTGGCAGAGAGCATATAGCAGTTTTTTTCTGTATTTGCAATGTTTTTTTATAAAGACACAAAATGTGTTGCAGCAATTTAGTTATACAGGTTAAAGTGAAACACTAAACAAGATTCAGTCAGGAAAGTTATTTATGACAGGAGACTGTTCTAAGTCTCTTCAGTTTTGTTTTCTCCTGCACATTAAGCAGCACACGCGCAGCTCAGTTCACAGGCTTAGCATACTGAGATGGTAATTCCCGTGTGCATGCGCAGGAGTTACTTTATCAGGACCCGGCCAATCAAGCAGCCGAAGACTCGAAACCCGGAAGACGACCAGGATGAAGATGGAAACACCAGTAAGGAAGGAGCACAGTGCTGGAGGGGATTGCACTGGCAGGTAAGTCTGCTATAATGTACTAAGATGCTGTGCTTCCTAGCACATTATGACTAAAGCAACAGGGGTGGGTTTTTTTGCACAGCTAACTATGTTGCTTTAAGTTATAACTGCCTGGCTTGATTCACAAAGCGATTTAATAATCATAAAATATTTAAACTTAATTACAAAACATGTCAATAAAGCAATTTATCTACATCAAAACAGGTAGCTACAACAGTAGATGACATGAGGAATTTGACATTATCACCATGTGCATTGCTTTCTGTTGATATCTAGGTTTTGCTTTCTCCACAAACAAGCAATAGATTTCTTGTATTTTTGTTTAACACATGGGCCACCCAGTTATATGAAAATACAAAAGCTAAAACAAGATGAAAGGGTAACCATAATAGTCTTTCAAACGGAATTACAATGTTTTAGGAACAAAGGTGTTTGTGTCAGCACGGAATATGAATCACACAAAATCTTCCTTCCTGTCCAACAACTAAATCTCTTACACAGACACCACAAATCTGAATATTTTATAAATACTATCAGGCTAAGGGAGAGTCTATGTATTATTAAAGGCAGACTGAAAAAGTAGGAATGTCACGAGTACCACCGCTAAGAACAGGTGCCTCATAAATAATTCACACGGCTGGAATGGCTTGATGCCGGCAGTTCAATTATATATGATGGGCTGCAGCACTGACAGAAACACATGTGCGTGCGTACATGCTCACTACTAGTATTTGCATCATAATCCTGCCACAACAGTTAACCTTTTAACGCAAAATATTTTCAATACTTGTACCCTGTCAGGAATTTCTCAAATTAGCCATTCAAGGAATAAGCATACATTTGCTAATGTAATTTAAAAAAACACAAATGTAACAATAAGCTTATTCTCTCTTACTCTCTCAAGCTACATGTCTGTGCTTGCATAGGTCTGTGAATTGTGACCGCAAAAGATCCGTCAACATATGAAAGATGATGCAGTCCCTATTTCAGCCATAACAGGCTGCATGCTTGCTACATGACCACATAACCCTCAAACAAATCTGTCAGAGACCTGGACAATACTAACTATACATATTATCAAGGGTGCGCAATTCCTTTTGTGCGCCCAACAACCTGGACATGCAGTTCCAAGCACCAGGCAGGTGTTTTTATTTCTACATTTAGCCCTGCTGCAGGCAAGGAGGGGTAAATGTAAAGAAGGGGAACCACCGCTCATTGTGTACAAGTGATCTGGGCAGCTGTACAGCTGCCCAGATCACTTGTAGCAGCCTGTTTGTGCTCGATCTTCCGTAGTGGAGGGCAGGCTCTCAAAATGACTTGGTACATGAACAGAGATACAGTTGCCCATTATCTAATAATAAAGACATCTTAGACAAGACCCAGCATTATACACTTCATGCACATTTCAGGAGAGAATAACTCAGAAAGCCAGCAGTAAGAAAAAAAAAAAAACAGGTTCATTGACTTACTGGAGAGCTCATGATGTATGACATCAGCAAGATTTGGTTCATCTCCCCACCAGAAGACCCACAGCTCTTTGCAGTCTTTGCATTCAGGTCTGACATCACGTCTCCACACACACAGCAGGTTGGACTGCAAGCAACGGATGAAACTCAGAAGAATGGGGTCGTCTTGGGCTGGAGCAGAGATGATTGGGCTGCAGTCGCCATGACCCTGGAAATTGTAGCGACGCCATTTGATGCCAGTTAGTTCAGCCTATAAACAAAGGAAAATAATAATGTAAAGACCTCGGTCATTACCGACATGCAGAAATAACAAACATATGCATTATGCACTAACGTGTAATTGTATAACTTACAATGAAAAAGGTTTATCATTATGCACTGTACTGCAATTTATTATGCAATTACATACAGCACATTCAACCCTATTCACAGTGAGATAAATTTGGCAGCAAAATGATACAATAGTCAAAAAATGATTTCATTAATTGTCCTGGGTTATGAAGATTTGCATACAAGAATGTAAAAAAGAAAAACAAACAACCAGAAAGACAGAATTGTACACAAATTACACATTTCAACTGACAGCACAAGCAAACAATATAGGACGTTGATGGTGTTGTGGAAATTTTTTTACCAAGCATAAGCAAAATATTGCGGGCTTGTTCACACCAAATCCGGACCAGATCTGCATGAGTTTCTGCACATGCAGTGCAGTGTGTTTTGCCGCGTTTTGGCTGCGTTCTGGGCCGTGTTTTTTTTTTCTATCCTAAACTGGGTTTTCAGTGTGTTCCAGGGTGTTTGCATGCATTTGCATGCGTTTTAGTGTGTTTCAGAGCAGAAAAAAAATAGGGCATGCTGCAGTTTTTCCACATGCTCTGGAACTGAATGCTGTGTTGTGAACTAGAGCTCAAAATACCATTGGATGCATTTTTGATGCGTTCTGTAACTGCTCTGCATTTGCACTTGGTGTAAACAAGCCCTGCAATTTGTGATAGGATAGTAGAGTTTGCAAAAAGCTGACTTCCTAGCTTTCAAGAGCATAGGAATGACTCAGATAGGCCTCTGTCCCACAGCACCTGTGCCAACAATTAGGAAGCAGGATGGTGAACTGGCCCCTGTGACAGAGGATCTGGATGATCTGGAAGAGTCCATGAAGAGTCTGCCAGGAGCCAAGTACCACATGCTCCTGGGCCTGTGCGGTAAAATAATCTCGAAATGCCCTCCATCTCAATCCTGCCAAGCAGACAAGAAAAGAGCTTTAGAGGGGCAAAGGTGCAGATCAGTGTGAACTGATCCCATGGAATTACCACAGCATCCACTGCAAAGGCATGACGATGTCTGGTCTTGGCAACTGATCTGCCAGGTTTGTTGTTGAACCTGGACACCAGGAGGTCCATGTGCAGAAGGCCCTAGAGTGCTTCAAATACCTCTTGGTGAAGAAATCACTCTCTGGGATTCAGACTTTGATGGCTGAAGACCCCCTGCCAGTTTTTTGTGACTGGAATGTATACCTAAAGGAGGGTCATCCTGGATATTTGGCAAAGCGTATCGGCTAAGACATTAACAGTAGCGCAAGACTACAAGCAAAGCTCCAGATGTTGGAGAATGGATCTGTTAAAATAAGCCTGGGGTCCCTAGGCCAGACTAGACCAGACAGAGTCTGGCAAACAGACATTGTCACAACAGCACGTAGCATAGCCACACCTGAGAAAAGGGCCTTAAGGAGGGCCTCTAACTTTTTGTTTATGGGGGTTCTTAAAAACTGGGCCATCCACAACAGGGATCAATAAGATTTTGTTAAGGCAGGCAATAGCAGGGCCCCCAACTGGAACTGCTCATTTCTTTATGAACACTTGAGAAAGGAAAATGGAGCACACATGCACACTACAGCTGGAGAGAGGAAGAATGGGCAGTTACACTGGCAACCCTGGAACGTGCACAAAAGCCACTGGACCTAAAAGACAAAACATGCCGGACTGACCTACACCACTGACTGAGTAAGTCACAGCCAACACTCCTTGGTTAATCACTAATGGACCGAAGCACCAACAGCACACTGGAGCCCCAATTTACCACTGGCTTGTGTTCCTCGCAGCCAGTCAATAGTGAATAGCAGGAGAAAGTCCCATGCAGATCTTCACCCTTCCTACAGGTTCACCCCCTAAGGGGTCTTCAGGGACATGGTTATACCAGGTGGTAGTGCCATGGCTCTGGACCTATATAGCACCCTGCAGCTAACACAATGCATTGCGCTACATGCCTAGGTGAGTGTCTAAAGCAGGATCCAGTGCCTTAAAACAACTTTAGAGGCAAGCCTCGCTGGCTCTTCTTTCTGGCAGGATCCGGGGACTGGCCCCCAAAGCTGTGCTGAGAAGCCAACCAATCCAAAAAGCTGCAAACATAGGAGCCGCAGTGGCTATGTAGCGGCCAGAAATCTTCCTAGAAGAGTCTTGATAAGAAAAAGAAAAGTGGTCTGCTTCTCACACCTCAGAGAGAAGACATACATCACTAGCAAAAACAGGCTTACTGGGAGTGGGATGGGGTTTTAGTAGGGCCACAGCATTGTTTGCCAGTTTCCAATCGCCTAAAGACGGCATCATATAACTCATGGTGTAAGACTCTGATCCTGTGCCCTGTGATGTATGTGTAAAAAATATTATTTATCTCACCGAGTAAACCTGTTTGATGAAAACGTAAATTTGCGTAAAAAGGAGGAAATGCAGCTCAGATGTGCAGAAATGAAGGCTAAGCTATCAAAAATATTTTAGAAGAAAAAAAACACATGCTATTTCAAATTACAGAGAACAATTACAAAAGAATCTTGCCTGGTTCAAGCAATAGGAGGATGACATGGGCTGGGCCACGTTTACAACTTAGGACTTTATCTTAATCTGACAAAGTTAAAACTAAAATAACTCCAACAATCTTACAAGAGAGAAAAATAAATTGGAAGTGCAGATTTGAAAGAATGCAGTTCAGCAGCTTGCAGCAAAGAAGTTTACACATTCCTTAAAGGGACATTCATCCAATATGAATATCCTTGGATTACAAATATATGTTACAAATATATATATATGAAAGTGTTTGCCGTTTTAAATGAGTAAGTGTACTCTGCAATAAAAAAAAATACAGCACAGCCCCTCCACACATAAGGACCCCAAATGCAGTCATCACCCCCAATACTTTCACTACCCAATCTGTACCGCAACAATCACTGTTTTGGCCAGAAATCAAGCTCTGCCCACCTCTGCTCTGATGTATATGCGTGCTGCCTGGAACACAAAGATAAATGAAAGTCCATCTACATTCATTGTGTTGGTAGATCATCCATTCATTCTAGAGGGCCAGGCAACACAGCAGGGGGATTGGTCCACGAAACCCGCATCCAACGCGCGTTTACGAGGGGTATCCTAATTATGTTAAAAAATTTTGGGGACAGATAGAGCTTTCTTTTGGAAAGCTCTGTTTCCCTACGTTATGTTATAAAACATTTATGCTAACCCATATTTTTAGTAAAACATAAGAGTCAGGGTCACGTCGCGTAAATAGACAGCAAACATGTCAAGTTTTAAAATTGCGTACGCCCGCAAAATCTTAAAAAAAGTCCATAGGTGACGATTAAAACGCTTTTACTGTTCATCAGTTTAGTGTTATCAGTGATTAAAGGACAACTATGGGGTTAGGGCTTTTCCCCATAGTTCTTCTTAGGGTAACGGGAGGACACAAACTAGCGTCCTCCTGTCACCCTAAGCTACAGCTCGCGGTATACTGAGACGCCGCAGCTGAAGCGGATACCGACAATTCTGTATGGATCCGCCCAGCTGCGTGAGTGACAGCTGGCTCTGCCCGCCCCCTTCCCCATCCGTTCCGCCAGTCAGCGCCGGAGGATTGGAGCGGGGAGGGGGGAATCCAGTCCCTCCCGTCACGGCAGAGAGCCGTGACAGGATCGAGAAGTGAGCAAACGCCGGTAGGTGTTCGCTCACTTGCCGATCTACTGAGCCGACCTGTGACAGTCTCATTGTCACAGGTCGGCTAGAACTATGAGGTGAGTGAAAAGCACTCACCTCATAGTTCTCCTTTAGGCTGGGTTCCCACCTAGGTGATCGAAATATGCGCGTATGACACGCGTTTCGGGACGCACATTTTTACCCCGATTTGCGGTCCACGAAACCCGCATCCTACGCGCGTTTACGAGGGCTATCCGGCTGTATCCTAATGGATACGCGCGGAAATATGCCCCAAAGCTCCTGTACTTCTTTGAACCATGCCCATAGGAAATAATGGGATTTCACTTGCTGGGCGTTTTACAGCGCGTCGATCAGCGCTGTAAAATGCCCAGGTGGGAACCCGGCCTTAATGGCTCTAAAATTATTGCTCTCACTGCGACGTTTGCGGCGATCTGTAACATGTGTAACATGTAACAATAGGCGCAATCGTCTTCACACGTAGGCGCACCCGACGCATATCTGTGTGTGTATGTGGGGGGCGGGGACTTAAAAAATTTTTTTCTTTTTAAAACATTTTTATGCTTCTTATTTATTTTTATGAGTCTTTAATTTTTGTATTACTTTTTTTTTTTTTTTAGACACAACTTTATTGCTATTACATGGGGGGCTAAGAAGCCCCCTATGTGATAGCCAATTTACATGACAGGTCCTCTTTATGGAGACATCAGGGGTCTCAAAGATCCCTAATGTCACCTAGGGACCCCCAGAGAAGCTGATGAAGCAGAGATCGGCTTCATCAGCTTCTCTAGCTGTAGAGTGACACTGAATGAAGGAAGTGATGTACATCACACACATGTATACATCACTTCCTACATTCGGGGACTGTGAGAAGATCAAACGGAGTTCGTATACTGAACTCCCTTTGATCTACTGTCACAGAGCCGTGCCGGTCCCGGCCGCATCGGGCACAGCGGATCTCGGGACCGGCAACGGCAGTGACAGCTGCTGATACAAACGATCGAGCGTCCATAGAGACGCCCGATCGCTTGACTGCAAAGCTCCCGGCCGGCCGTGTAATTACAACGGCCGGCCGGGAAGATGCTCGTCGGCCTCCACCGTCCTCTTTGTCACAGACGAGTGGATTTTTCACACACAGTTGCTAGAGGGCCAGACCATTATAAATAGGGAAGCAGGTTGTTTACCACGACAGTAGAAGTGATTTTGTTCTGAAGATATGGGTAAACAACGCGATTTAACAGCATTTGAACGTGTGATGATTGTTGGCGCTCGGAGCCATGGAGCG